ATCTAATGACCTGATAACAAATATGCTCACAAATTGTGAATATATTAGATATAAAAAGGAACAAGATATTATAGAGCAAATGGGCAAATTCACTTATTAAATGTGTGATCTTGGGCAAATGACCAGATCCTCTCAGCCCCAGCTTCCTCATCTGTACCAGGAAAACACACCTGGTAGAATGTAAGCTTTTTCATTTTGCTTATTTGGAAATGTAAGCTTTTCCACTTCTTTCACCTCATAAAACATTTCCAAATTACAAGAAATCTTTGATCCAAGTTGTCAGTCTGCTTTCTACTCTTAACTTTTCAACATGGTCCAATGGACTCCTCTTTTTTTATCTTTTGCACCTGCTGATCCAGCCTGTCTCCAGTTGGTGGCGTCCTAAATACCCACAATGCTCAGAGCCTGGGAGGTTAAGGCTGGTTCATGTAAACCCAGTTAGGCCTGGCTTCAAGGAGAGGAATCCCCTCTACCAGGATTTTGCACAATAAGATTCCTATATCAGGGCAGAATGTGGATGAAAGAGGTTTTATCTTTTGAGGATTGGTGGAAATATCTAGACTTTTGAATTGGTCAGACTTAGGTTTGAATCCTAACTCTACCATGTACTATGTGACCAGAAATCCCAATTATTTCCTCACTCAAAGTGGATGATAACTAATGCTCACCTTGAAGGTTATTAGGTTGGAATTAAATAATATAACATAGCCAAAATATTGAGAATGTAGTAGGTTCTCAATAAATGGTAGCTGTTATAGACTTAGCTCTGATCAAGGTAGAAAGCAGAAGTTCCCACCTAGCTCTCCAGACAAGATATAGATGTTTGAAATAGCATTGGACTTTCCAACAAATTTAAGTTAAAATATCAGCCAAAGCCATTTTTAGTCATTGATAAATTAAGTCACCACATTGTTTCCAGGGCTAAATACATTCATTATAGAGAGATGTAATAACTTTGTAAAATTTTCCAGACTTCTTAATTCTAAGAATTTAAAGATTTTATTCATTTATTTATTTGACACAGAGAGAGAGAGATCACAAATAGGCAGAGGCGGGCAGAGAGAGGGTGGGGAAGCAGGCTTCCCGCTGAGCAGGGAGCCCGAGGTGGGGCTCAATCCCAGGACCCTGAGATCAAGACCTGGGCTGAAGGCAGATGCTTAACCATCTGAGCCACCCAGGCATCCCTAATTCTAAGAATTTAAACAAAAATGTTATATTTGCTGAACTTTTCATTTGTAAAACTTTAGATTAGAATGGCTTAACCTGATAACAAATTTACGCCCAACTGTAGAATGTCCATATTAGGTGTAAATGGAAACCAGCTGTAATTTTTAATGCAGTGAATGGAGTAAAGAAATGTGCAAACCAGTCCAAATGTTTATAAACCAAGGATTCCTCTGGGACTCAGTGCCCTGACTTTACTCTTTTTTTAAACATACAGAGCCAAGCTTTGTTCATACTTGAATTATGTACTTTGCATAAGCCATACAATTTAACTTTAACCCACAGGACTGAAAATAAAATGAGCTCAGAGGGCAGAACAACAAGACTGTGAGCAAGGAGGAGCATTAATCAAATTGAAAGACACACCCCTCACTGCTGCCTCCATCCTGTCCGTCCTGTCCTTCGCTAGCTTCCTCCTGCCAGATTATTTAAGATTCCTTATACTTAGCTCCTCAGAGTGGCAGAAACAGGTTGCGATTTTTACCCTGAAAAAGGGATTTGTCTTTTTATTTAATGTTTGCGTAAAATGCCCTGAGGAGGTTGATGAGTAGCACACGATTTTTTAAAAAATCATGAGTGAATGCATACCCTTGCCACTTGCAGTTGTGACAAAGCCTAAGTAATTCAGGCATGAGCATGGTGTGGTGTGTGTGTGTGTGTGTGTGTGTGTGTGTGTGTGTGTGTTTAAGTGCAAAACAGCAAAAAATTTACTAGTGGAGAATGTCTGCCTAAACAAGCTCATCTATTTGAATGCTTTCAACTGCAGTTCAAATTTGTTTAACACAAGCAGGTTTGGTAAACAGGCCAAGTTTGCTCATTGGGCATTTTTAGAACATCACAAAATAAACCAATATGTGGCTCTTTGGCTCATTTTGACAGAGTGGACAGGGAACCCACTGGGAGGTTTGGAAACCGCTTGCCCTGGCATCAGGTTTAAGAGTGTCAGGAGGAGGGGCACCTGGGTGGCTCAGAGGGTTAAGCCTCTGCCTTCGGCTTAGGTCATGATCTTGGGGTCTTGGGATCGAGTCCTGAATCGGGCTCTCTGCTCAGCAGGGAGCCTGCTTCCTCCTCTCTCTCTGCCTACCTGTGATCTCTGTCTGTCAAATAAATAAATAAAACCTTAAAAAAAAAAAAAAAGAGTGTCAGGAGGGTACACCACCCTGTCCTTGTGAGGACATGACACCATTCACTCATCTCATGAGTGCCTGATATGGCTTACTGTCCTTGTCACTGTCATTTATTATCCCAGGCAGAGGAGGGAGCGACTTAGTTCTATGTGGTCAGTGTTGATTCCATATCGTGTTTATTTAGCCTGCATGATAATATTTTGTGAGTATCTTCACATGATTGTCAGATGTTTTTCCTGGGGAATATCTGAACAGACACTAATATCATCAAATGCCTCAGTGTTCACTTCAACCTCCTCTGACCCCACTCTAAGGACCCTGCTTTATAGATGACCATATATTAAATTGGTACCTTGTAACTCAGCCTGATAGTCTCTCTAATTTTTGACCACCATGGTTAAAAAGGAGGAATTAGCCTAAGGACACTCCATTCTAATTTTCTGTTGCTGTCAATGCTAACCAGAGCTCATAGAGCAATGTTGTGGGGGTGGGGAAGATGGTTCCACCATTGGTGTTAGACCAGGAGCTACTGTTTCCGTTAGAGCCACGTTTATTTCTGGAGTAGTTGTGGGGGAGAGATGTGCTCCAAAGAGAAGAGGATTCGGTGTGGTTCAGGTATGACTGACCATCTGGACAACCCAACCCAGAGACTAAGTACACAGTATAGAGGTGGGCTGGTGCTTTCCACACATCGAGCTGAAATCACTTGCGTTCTGGGAAAGGAGATAGAATGAAAGCTAGAAACAAAAGATTTGGTTGTGAAACCTAGTACCTAAGTTAAGATGTCTGAATACATTTTCTCCTTTAAAAAAATCCTGGGGAAATTGAATAGTTTTGCTAACGTGGCTATTTTTAGCCAGTCCTTATAGAAGATGAGGCGCTGGGAAGCTAGCAACCTCAGAAAATATTAATTCGTTTTGTACGTGTTAAAATTAATTAACATTAGTATATTCAGTGATACAACAAGGCAATTAAAGACTTTTGGAGAGATAAGAAGAAAAACGTAGATATATACTAAAAATCAGGCTCATAAGCATTTTATAAAAATGTTGGCTTATATCCAAGATCTAAGGGTGGGGGTGGGTATGGTTTCTTTGTAGCTGAAGAAAGTGGAAAAGAATCTGCTCTATTTCCTTAAAAATAAAAGACTTCTTGTTTTATACAGCATGGTAAATGAAATGCTTTTCTGCTTTTTACCTGCCGGCAGTTTCTGGAGGAAATTTTTCTAGCAAGCTATGCTGTTTTCCTCTCTTCAGGGACATGGTGACACTGGTTTGTAGCAAAACAGTATTTGCTTATTAGGCATTTCTTCAAAATCCTGAATAAGCGGCTCTTTCCACATTTTTTGTTCCACATGTTAAACATTTCATTGCAATTTGAGCTTCAATTGTGTGTGTGTGCGTGTGTGCGTGTGTGTGTGTTGATAGGAAGTATTGAAAGGGGATGCATAAGAATTCTTGAGGGTTTTTGTTTAAAAAAATTAATTCCTACAATTATGTATTGGACTCTCTACAGAAGGCAATTCCAATTTATTACACAGAGCCAAACTAGATCTCATCAATCTTAAGCAGCGGGGGTAGGGAGGTGGTATTGCAGAAGACATGAAATTTGGTGTTTGAGTAGATGAAATTTAATTTTCGGAAAACATTTCACTCATAAAACGGATGGCACCCCAGTGTCAGCCCTGACCTCCATGATGTCAATGTCATCGTGCAAGCACTGCTAAGATAAGCCTCCAAGTAAAACAAAGAAACATTGCGTTTTAGCACAACACCATTTCTTCTCTCATAGTATGTACTATGCATATACATACAGCCTTCTGATATTCCTGTTAATGCCTTGTTACTTTACAATACAGCTTTTGGAGAGGGAGGGAGGAGAAAAATCATTTTGCATGTTCTATGTTCTGAGCAAGCGCGGTAAGTATGCTGCTGCAAGTCTTAACATTATTTAGGTCAGTATCCTAAGGATAGCTTTTCTCGTTCACGGTGGTCAGCTCTACATCCAAAGGAATTTAGCATCAATTTATTTTTCTGCACTGATTTTATTTGCTTCTAAGTTCAAGCAAATTCATTCACATCCTAATACAATTGCAACTGAGGAGGTATCTGCCATTCTGTACTGCAGATACATTTAGCAGGATACATTTACACGGCTTGTGGTTAGAGGTTATAGCACGGATACAGACAGCCCGATCATGCATTCTTCTACAAGCCTGCCGGCGGCATCACTTAGGATCTGAAAAATAATCTAGAAGAGCTATACCCTATATAACATTATTTTTTTACTTTGCAATAGCATAAGTTTTTTATTTTGTTTTTGTTGTTGTTGTTGTTGTTGTTGTTAGCAATTCTATGAAATTAATAGTCTATAAAATGCATTCCCAACCAGATACATACTGTATTGAAAGCTTTCTTCAAGAAGAAGATATGACAGTATTCATTCCAGCTTATTTTCTTCGTTAGCAAAAGGATTGTTTGATTCTCAGAAGCAAAAGGACACATTCATTGTGCAGCAGCTCTGCTCAAGTGTATGAAATGCCTTCTACTGTCTGGTTGCAGAATTTGGAGTTTGCTAAACAGTGTTTAGTGATTGGGCTCATCTTGCATCACCAGTTGATGACATTTTTCTTTGTTCCCTCCTACCCAGTTGAACCAAGACTCTGAGGCTGATATGCAATGTCACTTACAACATTAATCAGATACTGCATTTAAGGTGAGCTGTCCCTTGCCTCCTCCTTCCCCAGTGCTCGTGTGCTGCATGCAGTGCGTATCTTGCTTCTGCGAGCCTAAGATGGCAGGCAGGATTAGCCGTGCTTTTGCTGTGTGTGCATGCTGTGTATAGAATTCATTACACGTTGCCTAGTATTTCAGATGTGAGTATGTAAATGCTCGGTATGCCATATCATCTGGTAGCGAAGACTTGTTTTTGCTTCATTACAGCCTTAGATATTTCAACATCACCTTTCAGTTCCGATTCATTTGCCTCTGGATGTTTGCTTTTCATCACGTTCAAAATAGGATTTTACCTTTTTTTTTTTTTTTAAACAAAGCCAAAAAAAAAAAACCCTAAAAACAAAAACAACAACAAAACTCTGCTACCAGATGGTGTCTCTCCTTTCTTCTTGCATTTGCTGTCTTTTAAATAATGTATGTTGTATTGTTAATTAATGTGAATATCAAATTAAACACTTGAAACTTACATATTTATTATGCAGGTAGGAGGCAAGGTGGAATCTATTTTTAACTCTTATGCACTCCATGGTGTGCAGACAACTTGGTTCTCAAATTTGTATTTTCAGTGCTGGTATCAGTGGTTTGATTTTCAGCAAATGTGACAGTGGCCTTTGCAGTGGTCAGCTCCGGGCTTTGAACTCTCAGAGGAGGAAGGGAAAAAAATTCAGCACACCACCTTCTTGGTTGCAGCCTCAGAGAAACCTTGGATGAGAAACTTCTTTTTTTCAATCCTGTTTTCCTGTTGATAAATTCAGTTCTCGTGATCACAGTTACATTCAAGCTGTTCTGCGTATGATTTTTTTGTGTGTGTGTGACAATTGCATCTAAAACTTGTGAGCAAGAAGACGGAGAAATCAGTTGGTCTCCATCGCTTTACATAAAAATGGCTGAGTGTCTTGTCATGCTAGCACTGCATTAAGTGATACATACAGGTAGGTCGAAATTTGCATGTTTTCTAGATTTTTTTGAGCCATGCAGCAAGAATTTGAGATGGATTAAAATATGACTTTTGGAACAAACATTAAATAAGACAGCTGTAATTTTTTGGAGGGAGGGTATTAAATTGGATGGGCTTTCCTATTCAGATACTATATAAATATATAGCTTTGATAAACTCACAAAATGATTCTGCCATAAAAGTGAGATGATTCCTTTTTAAAAAATCATCTATATGATAGGTGTGGCGCCATTAGACAACAAAAGAATTTTTTTGAAAAGTGTGTTGATTCAGCTCCACTTTAGCTTGAAACTAAAAATAAATGGGTTTCTTGAGATAATTTCAAAGAGCGCAAACAAGCTTAATAAGAAACATTTAAAATATTTAAATTTTAAGAAGCGGTCTTTAAACGTGTTATATGAAAGATGAAAATAAAAACTTACATGCTTCCAAAATCAATTTTAGATAATATACAAGAATAAATATGCTATTTGTGTATCTATTATTCAGAGAGATGAGGAGTTACAATTTTTGAAGGGGGAGTATTAAATGTAGATGGCCCTGTTAGAAGATAAAGAGCTTCACTGAATGAGAAAGAGTCCCTAGAATGGTTCATTGCAGACCATACAGCTGTGGCTCTGTAAGTACCAAATTCTGGCACTTTTCAAAATAATTTTATGGGCTCTTTCCTTTGAGCTTAACTTCCGAAATATATTTTAGTTTCAAATTAACACTGGGCCAGAACCTGTTTCCTTGGTAACCAAATCTTGTTTAAAAATGCAATATAACAGATATGCAAAAGATTGTCTTAAAAAAAGAAACAAATGGTTAATGACAATTGTCCAGTTCTTTTTCCCTCTCATAGAGAGTCTGGACTGGTTTTAGATATTTTTAAAGGCGGTCTTCAAGCCTTAAAAATTAAGCCATATTTCTACACTTTATAGAGAAAGCTTGCACAGGGAGAGCTTTTTGCTTCCTCCTTTGTGCTCAGTACTTTCAAAATTAAGGTTTTCTTTGTAACGTGCTCCAGAATGCTGGTCAAGGTTTGTGTACAGACGTGTAGTTTCATTATCACTGGTTCACCAGCGCCGGTGAAACAAAAGGCATCTCAGAAATTCTCAGAATCAGAAAATGCTTATGCTCTTATTTTCCCTGATCCCCCCCATGGGTAACCTCAGAGCTCTCGGTAGAGAAGGACCCAAGCCCAAGCCCACCCCCCCCCAATGAGAAGTACACATGGAGCCTTTGTGGGAACGTCTTTGTAGATAAGTTCGGAGGAAGATACTGGCAAACCTGAAACCTCTATGAGGTTTGCTCCGATGTGAAGAACATCGAGACTCAGGACCATCTGTGTAAATAGCTGCTTTAGTCTAGCAGTTGATCTAATATTCCAAAGCATCATGTGCAAAGTCAAACCTCTTCGAGGCTAAAGGTTTGTTGCTGCTGTTGTTGTGTTGTTTGGAGGCCAACGTGAATATTTTGTTTGGAGTCTTTCTCTGGCTCAATGATATTAGAACGTGATTCATCTCATAGTGATTTCGTTCTTTGGGCTTGCCACGAAATATCCCTCCTGCAACACCTTTTTTTTTTTTTTTTTTTTTTTGGGCTGTTTGGGGGCCATTTTCCTTCTTGTTTGTGACTAAAAATGACTAAGAACATTCTGAATGTAGCATCAATCAGAAGATCTTAAACCAAAGGGAAATGTCGGAAACCTGATTCAGTCTTGCTTGTTTATTTCAGTATCAGTAACATTAACAGTTGCAGGGGATCAAGCTAATTGTCATTCACTCTTGAGCAAATAATGAGCCAGGCATTTGTGATTAAAACACTATTGCTATTCAGAAAGATTACAACTACAACGTCTTCTGTTTTGATAGGCCGGTACAAATCAGTCATTTTGAACCTATTTGAATCTTAATCACGAGATTAGATGGATGCAATGGGACTGTTTTACCACAAAAACGAATGCCCAGTAGATTCAACAGTGTATTTCTTCTTTATAAAATGTTGATCCTTTTATTGTTAACTCAAGCATGGTTGCGTCATCTCGTAGATTTTCATACTTGATGATTTTTTTGTGGCATTATTCATTTATGGTACTCTTGTTGCCTAAAAGAATTTTACACACAATTCAAGGAGGTTGAAAGCCAAATTAGACCGTTGGGAAGTGTACTGTACCACTGTCATTCTAATAAATAGACCAGTGAATGCAAGAATAATTATTATTTATTACTTTGTTGTGTTTCGCCTTAATGCTTTGCCTTCACAGAAATATTTACAAGGCACAAAGCTTTTCCAAACGTACCCATTTACAGTTATTATTGGATTTCCTAGTCTAGCCAAAAACACTTCCTGATGATCACAGAGATGGCATCTACCCCTTCTCATTGTTTAAAAGGCTGTGCTTAACCCATTTACACTTTTTGGCTAAGGTGGTTATACTGGGCAGGCCAGAGCAGGTGTGATAGAATGTGCAAACAACTGCTTTGTTCTCACCAAAACAGAATGAGCAAATCTGTGGTTTTCTACTTGAATGATTTATAGTCTGCAGTTCTTACCTCTTTTTCTTTGGAGAATAGGAAATTTTTTCTGAAACTTAACTCGGTGAGAATACCGATATTGCATCTCTTGCCACTACAGTTAGATTGATCTACTTCATTCATTTCCGTGGGTCCCCTAGAGAGGCTAGTAGCCAGACCCTGTTTTAGAGCTGACTGGCAGGGAAAGAAGGATCAATAAAAAGATCTAGCACCTTTATCTTTAATACCAAATCCTGCTAAGCTTCTGAGTTCCTGGAACCACGTGGTTGATTCTAACAACTCCCTTCCGGGGGAAATGCTGTTCTTAACAGCTTCGTTGGTAATTAAACCTTCGACACATCTATTGAGCACCTTCTATATGCCAGGGATATTCCAAAGGCTGGAAACAGAGTAACGAGCAGTAGAGATCAGGGCCTGCTTCTCAGAGACCTGCCTCTAGTGTAGTGGAGTGGTGGGGCTGGGGGAGCTCAAAAAATATTTATGTAAACGATTAAAGAAGACAAGTGCAAAGAAGAAAATTAAAATAAAATGTTAAAAGGCAAGGACGATATGTTGGGAGGAGGAAAACCACCGTAGAATGACTGGCCTTCCCAAGGAGCTGGCATTTAAAAGCAGAGAACTGCCTGGTAAGCTGCAGCCAGCCAGGTGGGGTTCTGCGGGGATCATCAGGAGGCAGAGGAGTGCGCATGCTCAGACTGCAAACTCCTCTCTTTGCGTAACCGCCATTGTCACGGGGCCCAGTCTAATGGCTTCGCAGGTAAAGCCTTTCCTAGGTCAGCTTCCCCTGCAGTGAGAAGGGGGGGCCTGGCCGGTGGCTGGTTTTGGTCAAATTCCCAGGACGCAGTGCCGGGGATGTCACTGCCTTTGACCCAGTCCCACCCTGAAGCCACCTAAGAAGGTGCAGTGGTGCAGACAAAATGCTGACATAGGTGTAGCACTAACCCCAGAAATCTACAGGAGAAAGGATTCTCAGAGATTTGTTTTTCCTAAGAACTCCAGAAAGTAAACTCATGGCCACACATTGAGATAACCATTTCCTTTAATTTTTTCCACAAGCAAATGGTCGAAGGGCCTGTCCCATCTTGCCAGTAAATTTTCTCTGTCCTCTCACACCTAAAACTCTTCAGCTCTACAGATTTCTTTGCCTGACAGCAGCTTTCTAAAGACCTTACTACCTGGAGTGGTATTTCTCTATTTGAGCAAATAATACCAAAGAAATTCTTTTTAAGAACCAGATCTCTTTTATGTGTTTTAGGTTAGTCTGCTGACAAAGCTCTGAGTACAAAAGGATAGGTTTGCTACATAAGTTAGAGACTGTAAGACCCTTGGGACGCCTGGGTGGTGATGTTGGCTAAGTGTCCAACTCTAGTTGTGATCTCAGGGTCCTGAGACTGGCCCCTGCGTTGGGCCCCTCCGTGCATAGTCTGCTTAAGACTCTCTGTCCCTCTACCTTTGCCCCTTTCACTCATTCACTCTCTCTCAAATAAATAAATCTTTAAAAGAGAAAGAAAGGAAGGAAGAAACGATAAGATCCTATGAGGCTTTCAGAATGTGTCAGAAGCATCTTCTAAAACCAATTCGTAATTTAGGGTCACCTGGGTGGCTCAGTCTGTTGAGCATCTGCTGTTGGCTCTAGTTGTGATCCTGGAATCCTGCTCCTCCCACTCCTTCTGCCCCTCCCCCCACTTGTGTGCACTCTCTCAAATAAATAAATATTAAATAAATAAAATTCGTAATTTAGTGGGTTTTGCTTATCACAAGTTAGAGGTGGCCTGGCTGACCCCTCACACTTTAGTTTTGACTAACTTACGAACCGTTCCCCTGCATGAAGCACGTTCAAGCCCTTTACAGCAGTCTTGCCCACCAGTGGAAGAATGGGCTTCAATAATTCAGCTCACTTCTTTAGGCATCGCTTGTGGAGCAGCTACTGTGTGACAGATGCCACTCCAGCCCAGGCAAAATGGAATATGACATGAAACACCCTTCAAAACTTCAGTCAGGTTCCTACACAAGGCTAGAGCATCGTATGGACAGGCACAATTGTGTGTCCTCTCTGTTCCAGACAGAAACAAATGACATGCTGTTCTCCTAGGAGCCTCTTATACTGTTGCCTTGGAGGCCAGCCTTCAGTGTGGGGGCATTTCAGCTGATGGCAAGGGTGGTTCTTTCTGGGACTCCATGTCTTATCCTCATCACCTTCCCAAGATGTCTTGGCTCCTAATAAGCCACCGTATGTCTGGCTGCCCTACTCCAAGCTGGTCTGCCTGCATTTGCCAGGTGACTTCAGTAACGGCTGCCACCCTTTTGCATTCATGAGCAGATGTTAAGTTGAGAAGCCCTTGAATATAAAAATTTGAATTTTTGATGCAGGCAAGATGCTTCTGCCTTTTTACCTTCCTTGGCTGACAGTGGGGGAGGGGGGCTTCCTGTGGGCTGTCCTGCAGAAGGCTTCGTG